TTTTTTCACGAAAACGGTTAAACTTAGAAATTTGAATTTTGGTACACATTAACCCTTTCGCTGCGCAATACGTCTGAACGTAGCTACCGCGCCGTGCGCGATTGTTTATCGCGTGCGAATATATACGTCTGGAGCAGTTAGACCACTTATAGTTTTACATTATGTTGTGTTAAATTACGATTTACGATAAATTTTACGATTTTATTTTGAATAAAATACAGTATATGTACTAAATAGAAACTGAAAGAAACATGAACAATCTTGGTACTATTACCAGTACCTCTTTCCATAAAAATATTTGTCACAATCGGTATAAGCTCGCCCGCAAAAATTCGCCTTACCAATTGCAATAACCGAGTCACTATGCGCACGGTTGCAAATATATACGGTTTGAGCAGCTTGATCCAATTTAACTATTCGTGCGAATTAATTCGTCTGGAGTAGTTTGAGCCCTATAAATTTTTAGCAAATATATACGTCTGGAGCAGTGAAAGGGTTAAAGGTCTTTCCAAGCACTTTAGAAAAGGTTATATTCAATTTCTTCGAAAAATTAGTTCTTTCGCCATTATTTTACGGTAAAAGGTTCGATTCTACTTTTCCGAAAAATAAACAATCGCCTTTAGAGAGTGATAACTCGGTTATTATTGCATCTACGGTAATCAACAAAAAATGAATCGATTCGTTATTTCAAAAGCTTTATTTTTGCTTTATATGGGTTTTTTGATAAAACGCAAGGTTTTCAAGTTATTTATTAAAAATGGTTGAAGAACATGCACTTTTTAGATAAAAAAATCAACATTTTCAATCACAAATAACTCGGAAAATATTAATTTTTGGAAAAAGCGTTTTAGAGCATTTTTTGCTTAGAATTTATCCCTCTATTGATTTTTGCAATTAAAATGGGTGCCTTCATTGCCACCCCTTCTCGGGGTAAACGCACATGTCGGCACTATGTAACTTTTGTTTCTTGAACAATTTTCTACTTACTGTTAAAATTTCACGTCAATCGGTGCATGTGTCAAGAATTCGGACCTAAAAACCTTCATATACTGAGGTATCAAAACGAATTCCTAATTTACGGTACTCATTTATTTAAAAAAGGTCTGTTACTTAAATAATACAACGAAAAGTTCGATATACCCGAATTGGTTATTTTTGCACTACCTAAACATTCACGATTTCTGGAAAAAACGGCATACTGTCCGGGAGTTATGGCACGTTTCGGTTTAATTAATTTTATAATCAGTCCTTCTTCGACTTTACAAATTTCACAGGGTGTCCATTCTTCAGTATGTTGGAATTTGAAATCACATTTTAAAACTTCCCCTCTATCTAATTCTTCGGGTACGGAATGGATCCAATGAGGGCGAGACCCAAAAAATAGGTTACTATGCAGTATAGGGTGTTTAGTCCCGGATGCCTGAAACGGAGCATTAATACAAATTTAGATAATTACATTTTTATATCTACCGCATGTCCCTGGGTAGACAAAATGACCGTCAACAGACAAAAATTGTTGCCTTCTGGGATTCAGCCTCGTTTGTTTATGAAACAAAATTTCACTTCATTTGATATTTTTTCTCAAATTCAGATTTTTTTGATAGTAAAATGTTCTTTCTGTATGAGATACCATAAACTGTTATTAAGAAATGTTTTTAAGAATGAGAAAATGATTGTGTGCAAAATTTTAATACTTTTGGCATTTGATATTTTCCTTTATTTTACGTTTTTCTCAAATTAGGAATATAGACAACGAAATTTTACGCCTTTCCTTTATTTATCATCTGAGACAATTTTTTTAATTTTGTCATAACTCACAAAGGAAAGATCACATTACTAATGAAAACATCTGAATTTAAGCAAAAGTCAAAGTAGGCTTAAGACATTGAAATATTTTGCAAATATTTAGTTTTTCATTCAGAGAAACATTTTTTATAACATTTCTTGTTGTCTCGTATGAAAATGACACTTTACTGGTAAATAAAATGAGATTTTTTTAATTTCCGTTACAATCTGGATTTTACTGGTTTGAAATCAAAATCTCGGAAGGCTATTTCATTTTGTCGTAGCTATTCGTTGACATTCTGTATATGTGATACCTACCACGTAAATAATGTTACTCTGAATGCATTTTCTGGCTATAAAAAATGCCTCGGGGAGTCCTTGAAGTTTTGCCCTTTGGCCGAGTGTCCATTGATGAATTCCTCGATGCTCTCCCATTACTTTCGAATTGTCGATGTTCACAAATAATCCTGGTTTGTCAGGTATGTACTGAAAATTAAATATCAATTGTTTCTTCTCTTTCATGTTTTCCAGGAATTATTTTTATTATATACGGTGTCTTGGAAGTTTTATTGCCATAATTTTAATACGCAATATATCGTCGTTGAGCGTGACGTTTAGTTTGTAGATGCGTTTGGTTGGTATTCATTTCTTTTGTCATTTAATGAAAGCTATTTACTAATTACAATCATTCTTGCATAAAATCGTGTTTTTGAAACCTCCTATTTGCAAAAGAATTAAATTTGTCTCTGAATAGTGTTGTTTTCACTCTCCTGTGAAATATGGTATTTTACACATAGGAGGTTTTTCACACTCGATAACGATATACAGGGTGGTCGCGACGTAATGGGCCAAAATTCATGGGTACATTCCCCAAGTAAAAATATTGCAATTTAGCCGAACTTACCTTAGTCCAAAAGTTGATAGTTAAAGAGATACAGGGTGTTAAATGTAAAATATTATTTTAGTTTATTTCCATTTATTTCTTAATAAATGCAAATATCTACACAAAATTTTGGGGTTTGGGGTTCTTTGGATAGAGGAATTGAAATTTGTTCACATTTTGGTTATAGTTCATAGAGGGCGCCAGCTGCCGTAGATTGAAGGTGTTGGAAACGACATAACTTTTTTGTACTTTAAGGTATCTCATCTTTGGTATCAAATTCTTATTTTCCAACTTTTTTTACACAAAAAAGGTAGACTTTATGAAAGTAGCTGTCTCGCACCGTTTCCGAGATATTTGGCTTTGAAACTTCCAATGCTAATAGTTGAAATAATTAAAATAATTTAGAAATGTCAAAAACAAGGGTTTATTTAGAATTAAAAATTGTAATGAACAGTAAAATAGTAAACATTAGTAAAAAATATGCCTTTTTGACAATAATTGCTCAAAATGTCCACCTCTAACTTCAATACATTTATCAACACGTTTATTAAAAGATTGTCTTATTTTAAAGTATAAATCCTTAATGCGAAATGACTTTGCAGCATTTAAAACCTGCTACTAAAGTTCTTCTCAAGTGTTTATAGTTTCTCCATAAACAACTGATTTCATGTAACTCCAAAAACGAAAACCTCGGCATTCTATCTCACATTTATGTATACGAGTATACAATTTAATTTGTAAGCTAAGATGTAATTTTAATTAGATACGAATAATACTTAATAGAAATTAGCATACAAATGACAGCAATAAGACAAGTGGAAGACGTCAATTATTTGATTTTCGTCCAAATCCTACTTAAGAAACTTTACCGCTAAATTAATAATACCTGTAGGTACTTAATTGTAATTTAATGCAACAGCATTGGAAGTTTCAAAGCCAAATATCTCGAAAACGGTGCGAGATAGCTACTTTAATAAAGTATACCTTTTTTGTGTAAAAAAAGTTGGAAAATAAGAATTTGTAACCAAAGATGAGATACCTTAAAGCACAAAAAAGTTATGTCGTTTTTAACACATTCAATCTACTGCAGCTAGCGCCCTCTATGAACTTTAACCAAAATGTGAACAGATTTCAATTCCTCTACTCAACGAACTCCAATCCCCAAAATTTTGTGAGGATATTTGCATTTGTTAAGGAATAAATTAAAAAAAACTGAAATAATATTTTACATTTAACACCCTGTATCTCTTTAACTATCAACTTTTGGACTAAGGTAAGTTCGGCTAAATAGCAATATTTTTACTTGGGGAATCTACCCATGAATTTTGGCCCATTACGTCGCGACCACCCTGTATATCGAAATCAAAATATCCAAGTTGATGTATAAGAGTTCAGTTCAGGTGAGAGTGTACTAAGGGCATTAATCGACAGTAAGAAGAGTTTTCAATTAAAGCATTTTAAAGGGTTGATAAGGGATGATGCACCATTCAAATGTGACAGAATTTTTTTACCCCGTTGGCGGACATAAAAAATTACTACTTTATTTAATGGGGAATTTATTTCTAAAACTTTTCTTACTCTTGTTAGTGTTCAAAAAACCTTGTCGTTTTCAACAAAACACGAAAAACTAATCTCAGAAGTTGGCTATGAATTTAAACGTAAACTTGGCAATCAGGAAAGTCATTTAATTTTAGTAATAATTGTTTGCCAAGTGTTTTGAAAATGGCCGGGAAGTTTTCATTTAGCAAAGTTGATTTTGAATAAATTCTGTAACGTATCAGTGCAAATTCTATGTTATTTCTGTTGTTAGTTTTTCTATTTAATTATTCTTATTCTAACTTTTTTCCTGATCGTCAAGTTTGCCGTTTAAATTCATAGCCAACTTGAATTTTCGATGATTTTAAATAATGGCTACAATACGTATTACTAGTTATTCGAGTTTTTGTTGAAAACGACAGAGTTCTTTGAAAACTAACAAGAGTAAGAAAAGTTTTAGAATTAAATTCTCCATAAAATAAAGTAATAATTTTTTAAGTCCGCCAACGAGTTAAAAAATTCTGTTACATTTTAATGGTGCATCATCCCTTATCAACCCTTTAAAATGCTTTAATTGAACTCTTCTTGCTGTCGATTAATGCTCTCGGTACACTCACACCGTGTAGGTTTTTCTAAGTTCAAGATATTGATTTTTTCGAAATTTGAAAACCAACTTTTAAAGCCTATAACTTCGCATGGGTGCAGCTCAGTATAAAGGTAAGTTGCGTTAAGTCACCATATTTTGGGTTCCCCTGCATGCCTCTGCTCTGTGTCGGTTCTTATGCAAAACACCCTGTATAATAATTGAATAAACATACTTCTTGGATGAAATTTTGAAAATTTCTTGATCCAATGAAACATATTCCCATACTTTCTGGTTTCTTGGCAAATTCTTCTAAATTACTGTTAAAGGCTATTTGTTTCACTTCAGATTTTGTGAGATTTCCTAAAGGGAACATTGTACGTCTTAAGGCCTCTTGCTCAATTTGACACAAAAAAAACGTCTGATCCTTTTTGATATCTTCAGCGCGATACAATTTTACATCTAAAAAATACATTCTTATTAGTCAGTCAAATGTTAATTATAATGTTAAGAAAACGCACAGTTTCATACAAGAGAAAAGTATTTTTGAATTTATTATTACATACTTAGCAGCATGAACTATGTATATTATCAAAATCTCTTTGAACTTACATTTTAATGATTTTTGTCTTACCTTCACCAGACTTATAATATTGTAGATAAGGCCCAAAACTGGTTTTGGCATAGTGTCCTGTAGCTATCGCATCAGCTTTTAAATTATTCATAGCATATTTATAAAAGTAGTTAAATTTTATTTTCTTATTACACATTATATCTGGATTAGGGGTGTATCCAGTTTCATATTCTTTAATTAAATGGCTAAAAACATAACCACTTATTCAGTAGTATTAAAACACTATTGGATATTGATAAACGATAAATCTAATAGGTTAAGATTACATGCATAATGTTTACTAGGTAATAAGAAAATGTAGAACTAAGAGGTTCAAAACGTGTTTTACATGACAAAATTTCAATAGAAATGATTACTTTCAAGTAGACTCTAGTTAAAAACCAATTAACACAACGGTATCCAATTCAATTTGAAACATGACTTACTAAAAGACTTCATTCCAATATTGCTTTACAAAATTGACGTGATGTAATTGAACGTTTAATTTTTTACAGACAATCAATGCGTCTTTAAAATCTTCATTTGAGGAACAAAATCCCTTCTCATCGGTAATGTCCCAATTTTGCATAAACACTCCCTCTACTGAAAAACCTATAAGTACAAATTATATATTTTTTTGTGATGAATATAAAGTGAATGGAGTGGGAAGGTAAATACGACAAATAACACGCCCAAATAAATACCTTTTCTTTTTAATAATAATGCAGTTACAGCACTATCAACTCCACCTGAAATAGCTACAGCGATTTTTCTAAATTCATGCATTCTAATTTCTAATAAAAATATGAATATTCTCTCATGTTTGAAGTTAAGTTAGGTTATGTTATAAACTACGGTTAAAATCAGGGTTGCCACTGTTGCCAGTTGTCAGTGGTTAAAAAAAATTGTACTAGATGTGTATAGGAAACTGTACAAAATCTTATTCGTTGACGGAAGTCAATCAACGTTTCAAAATTAAATTATATCAAATGAAGCCTATTTTTCTATTCACTGAAAATTATCCTACAAAAATTTTATCAAATAAAGTCAAACAACGTTCTTCAATACCAGAAATCTAGGTAGGTATGCAACTGATATCTAAAAAAACAAAAGAAGTATATTAAAATTGTTAAACAATGTAATGATTCAAAGTATTTTGTTCTCTCTCATTACCTTTAACAAAAATGAAGAAGAAAAATACTAGTACGAAAAGATCCAGAGACCACCTACTGAACTTGTGCTTCATATTAATGGTACACGGGTATAGTTTGAATGGTAGGGCGATTATATACCCATAAAGTAAATAAATATAGTTTAGTTATTCATAAAGGTATATACCTACTTATTATTAGGTATATATTTTGTGACGATTACGGTGAAAGCAGTTGCTAGCAGTAGCCTGGCATAAGCCCAGTGATCAGTCGTGTCTAACAATTTGAGATTGCTGTGATTTCAATAATTAGTTATTTTATCACGGGCAAGCAGGGCAAGTGAACTGTAGACCATTGTATAAATAGAAGCGAACAATTTGGTGAAGAGAGCCGAAAAGTTTCCTTTATTATTTAGGTAAGTAAAAAAAGCAATAGGTATATAAAACGTAAACTTATTAAGTTATTAAATTATTTCTGATGATCATAGATGAATTAGAGTGGGCAACTTCGATAACATTACTAATTGTCAATAACAGACTGAGGCAAGAATAATTTTAGATACTTATTAAATACATTTTTTTTTTGTCAAAGTTTGAGTAGACACTTCTCACTTTTGATGCATTCACTAAAATATTTATTGATATCAATACTTATAAGCAAGTAAGTACCTATACCTACAAAATGAATACCTATGTCCGATCGTATTCGATGCAAAGTAATAAATCATTGCCTGTCAAGGGAATCAGTGCAACACATTTTATAGGGGGTTTTGGAAATTGAATAATTTCTTTATGCATTATGGATTAACAGTTATATATTTATGAAGGACAAAATGAAAAACAAAGGCATCTCCTTCGCACATTGGGCGGCAGGACATGCCTACANGTCACAGATTCTTAAGACAAATTTAGGGGACCCGTATTTTTTATTTTTGCCAAGTGGCCCCCTCTTTTGGAGTTACAGCCTTCTGAAGTCCGCCCCTAAGAATAATTTTTTTTTTTATATCTCAGAACCCTGTTGTACAAGAATCACTAAATTTGGTACACAGGGGTTTTATAACATGTGGAATCTGTGCTACGTTTTTTGGCAGGGAACCCCCTTAAGACAATTTTTCGTGGGCCCCCTTGTCTTTGGAGCCAAAAAAATTTGGTCGCATATTTAAATTTCTTAAAAATTATCAGTCCACTAGAAAGCCCTTAAATTTTAGAAACTTTTTGTCTCTATACTTTTTTTCGTAGAACGCAATGTTTTCAAGAAAAATGTCAAAATGTGATCGAATGCATTTCGTGATTCGCCATTTTCCTCAAAAACATTTCGGTTTACGAAACAAATATCAAGTGACAAAAAAGTTTCTAAATTCAATGGCTTTCTAGCTAACTAATAATTAAAAAAAAAATCAAATTTGCGACCAAATTTTTCTGTTTCCAAAGACAAGGGGGGCCACGAAAAAGTGTCTTAAGGGGGTTTCTCGCCAAAAAGCGTAGTACTGTGAGATTCCACATGTCATAAAACCCCTGTGTACCAAATTTAGTGATTCTCGTACAACATGGTTTTGAGATATAAAAAAGACTTCTTAGGGGCAGATTTCAGGGGGCTGTAACTCCGAAAGAGGGGGCCAGTTGGCAAAAAGAAAAAATGCGGGTCCCCTGAATTTGTCTTAAGAATCTATGACCAAATTTTGATGCATGAATTTCCGGACACCCTGTATATCAAATTATGATATTAAATGGTGAAAATTAAAAATAATGTTATTTTTTGACAGCAGTTTCGAAACGAATAAACTGGTTATGGGAAATTCCCAGAAAGATATTTTTCTGAAAATATTCCCAAAATATATTTCGGGAATGTTGCTAAATGTTTCCCAGGGAAATATTTCCAAGGGAAGTTACCCAGAAATATTTTCCACCACTTGCAGACTGTTTTCCAAGCACGACTCACGATAATAAAGCACCTCAAAGGGAACATACACTACTGCGTCCACGTCGTTGTTTCTGGGTAACCCTAAAAGTAAAAGTATGAAAACTTCCACTCTTTTGATTGCCGACGTCACATGAGATTTTCAGTAAAAAAAAAATGGCCTTGAAATGACCTTGAAAGACACCAAGAAGGTCGTGTTTGAGGTCACCACTAATTGCAACAAAATAACTAAAGTGAGCTTTGTACTATTTTCATCAACCGCGTCCTTCGGAGATATCCAGCCCACAAATTTAAATAACCTTTGAATGACCTTCAAGGTCAACACTGATTTACGCCCTTAGAGTTTTTGGATGTAAAATTTCCCGCTCTTTCGATTGCCGACATCGAAAAAGGGGGTTTCAATTTAAAAAAATGGATGTGACCTTGAAATAACCGTCAAGGTCAAATCCAAGGCCACCATTGAATTCCTCGTCAAAAGTTACTACAAGAAATGTCCTTAACATTTTTCAAAAATAATTTACCTGGGAAATTATTCAGGTGTTTCCAGACTTTTTGGACACCCTGTATATTATATTGAGAAGACTTTTATTTTTTTTTAATTTACTGTTAATCAGCGATTCCTGGACTATAGAGTAGGCCATCCGCAGTACTGGTAGCATCTTCTGCAATGTTCCGTAATGACCTTCGCTGAATCGCTCCTTTCATGGGTCGCATTGTGAGTTTTGACAGTGGCGGTAAATGCATTCCGCGTCCTCGATTTCGCTAAGCTGAACAGCATTTCTTTATACTTTGATGTGTAATGCATTCCGGTAAATTGGCCATAACTTCCACAATTGGAATTTCAATACTTGTGATATTTGCACACAATATTATTAAGACTATAAACTTTAAGATGAGCAAAAAAAAATTGAAAAAAACATGGTTTTCTACTCGGATATTGCCCCTTAAGTTTCTAAGGATCAACGAATAAATTTGCATTTTATATTGCACTGGCAGAAAATCTGCAGAGGATCATTTTTTCTATATTGCATATTTGGCAGAATAATAACCATATTAAATATACACTGTCTTAAGCCGGCACCATAAAAGCAATACCGAAGAACAATGTCAGTCAGTAACACCTAGTAATATTAGGACTAGGCCAGATGTAGGCTTAAGATGAGGTTAAGAACTTGAGGAAAAATGAAATAAAAATAAATATGTTTTATTAACTCTAACAGTAAGTACATACAAATTTTATATAAACAATAAAGCAACTTAAAGCCTGGAATTGTAACTTTAAGTTTTAAGTCAATATATTAATAATTAACAAAAAAATATATGATTTAATAATATGTGCATACACTATTAACAATTACAGAAAATATCCATTATGGTGTGTATTCAACCCATACATTTTCCAATTAAAAAATAAATCTTTAATTTTTCGTTATTGCACTCTCTCACAAGTTGGACGAAGTTATTTTCATTTAATATATTTGGGCAAGTGTTAGGCCTATGTAAGCTTTTTAAACTTCATTAATTATAACTTTTAAAGTTCCTATGTAAAATGTAATAAATACTGTTACATCATTATGTTGTTTGTCGAAAGTGAGCACCATTTTTAAATTGGCCTGCTTCAGACAAACAAAATCGAAATTTAAGAGGATTGGGCATTCTTCTGCCTAAAGTATTAGATTAGTTTAGAGGCTTTTTCATTATACTGTGAACATAGAACTCCACAGATTCTTGGTGTCAAATTAAAATAGTTTTATATTTTTCACATTTCTGCAAATGTATTTACTATATGCAAGTACTAGCATACCAAATTTCATTTTAAATCACTAAATGAAGTGACTTTGGATAGAAGTATCTTTAGTTAAATCCCTTATTTTGATTCTAATAATATGTGGCACTTTTATGTACACGGAATATTGAAACACCTTATAGAAAAATGGTTTTATATTTGTAGCAAGCTATTTGGTTGTTAATATGAACTATAAATCTTGAACTATATATTGACTTAAAAAGTAAAAATTTACTTTTTTATTTATTTATTTAGTTATATTTTTAGTATTTAATGCCATATCATCTTAATGTGTTTGTTACCTCGATTGAATTAACTTTTACAGGATACAAAATTATGTTCATTAAAAGTTAGATATATTTTCTTATAAATTTTAGACTAGATAAAAAAATATGTTAAATAAGTTATGTGTCTGTCCAAAGCAGGTAAAAAGTAATATAAAAAATAACTAGTTCCTTTTTGAGGAATTTATCAAATATTTACAACAATGGGTTAATAAGTGTTTTTCGCCTGCCGAATCCAGTACCATCTCTCTTGTATAAATATCTAGACCATATTGACCCTCTTCGGGGAAACTTATATTGAAAGTGACGATGTCATCCGATACGCTATGTGATACAAATTTTGAGAGACGTTTTTCCTCTACCCCATTTTTATGTAGTGTAGCCATGAAATCAGTTAACTGACGGGACATCCTGAATTGAATTTCTAGTTCTCGGCCAGCAAAAACTAATGCATCC